AGGGAAGCTATAAGGGATATAAGAAAGGTGCCTTTTATAGCAGCTAGAAGGTATAGGAATTCTATTCCTCCTAGGCTTATAACTCTCGCAAAGAGAGATATAAGAAGTATATATAAAATATATAAAGGTAAAAGTAAAAGTAAGGGGTTAGATAGGTAGGGCAGAGATATTTAAATCTTATAGGGGCAGTAATAAAGGTAAGGGAGTAATTTTTATATTACTTTAATTATCCTTCTTTCCTTTATCTAACGCCCCTCTTTATACTTATCTAGCATCTTAATTAATAAAGAAGATCCTACTTAAAGAAGCTACTAATATCCTTTTAACTACTAAGCTTTTTACTAGTTTTTCCCTTTCTTTCTAGCTATTACTAGTATATCCGTTTTATCTCTCGCTACCTTTATAGGAAGCTATCGCTACTTCTACTTCCCCTTATACCCCTACCCTCCTTTCTATACCTCTTTTTAGCTCCTTCTTTAAAACCTATTTTTTAGCTTCCTAGGTCCCTTATACTAAGGGATATCTTTAAGAACTATAAAATTAAGCTATGCTTCGCGATAACTTATAGCTTATTATAAAAGTATAACTATCTCTTAATATTAATTATTTATTTACTTAGCTATACCTTTAGTTACTATTTTAGTATTAGCGATCTCTTCCTTTTATATATTACTTAGAATACTACTTAATACTCTTTATCTTTTCTTAGTGTTACGGCCAGGCACATACGAGCCTTGACGGCTATAAAGATGTATTGGCACTATGAACAAAGACTCAAAGCTAAGGAGCAAGAAAGGAAGACTAGACTACACGACCGAGCGGGCCCTTATATAGACACGAGGTCGCGCGTGGGCACGTGATGCTGCTTGGGCACGTGACACTGGTGAGGTTCTGCGCTGGCGGCTCTACGCCGGCGCCCAGGGTCGTGACACTACCCCCCGTCTAAGGCCTTGATATGCGTATCAAGGTAGTCAGTCGTGGCGGCGGGTTCTTGGTTTCACGGCTTTCTGCTGTGTCGTCATCGTCTCGTTCCTCGCAGCCCTCCTCCGCTGCAGCACATTCGATCCAGTATTGCAGGTTGACGGGTGGGCCTGCTGCGTCCGGATGTTCATCGTGGAAAATCTTCAATGCCATTGGTGCGTTACGGAAATTTAGCCGGGTACCAGGTCTCATCAGGGTCACATCCCTTCCATAAGACCTGGTATTCCAGTCGTCGACTCCTACCGGTTACTCGAGACTGCTGGACTTGATCAACCTCCCACTCGGGTTCTCCGTTGATCTCCTCGGGTGGCGGAGGTGACTGGATCTGCTGGGGGGTTATCGGCTGCTTTTCGAAGACGGTCGGCGTGGAATAGGTTCTTCATTTTGTACGACTCGGGCAGCTGCAGTACGTAGCTATGACCGCGTTCTTCCAGGATTACGAACGGACCTGACCATTGGTTATCTAGCCGAGTAGTCGGAGCGTTCGTGGCGAAGCCTTTCCTGCTGAGAAAAACTCGGTCACCGATGGCAAAGTCGGTTGGTCGTCGTTTCCTATTAGCCTGTTCCTTCTGACGTTCTTGAGCGGCGGTGGCAGCATTCCTGGCGTCTTCCTGGGGTTTCTGGGCGGGCTGCACAAGTTCCTAGCTCTGGCGGCGGGTCCGGTGGCAGCGGTCTTGTCAGTCGGGGGCAGTGACAGGGGTTCCGGATATCTCGGCCTAGGGCTACTTTTAACGGTGCCATGTCGATGGAAGAGTGCCAAGACGAGTTATGGGCGAAGTCGAGGGCGGGCAGCAGGGAACTCCAGTTATCTTGATGCTTCGTCACGTAGAATCGTAGCTTTTGATCTAGGTATTGATTTGTAACTTCTACACCCTTGGGTCTGAGGGTGTAGGAGCTTCCATGACGATGCTTCGTTCCCGTGAGCCGGTTAATCTCTGCGAGGAAGGCAGAAATAAACTGTCCAGCGTTGTCAGAAATCCATACGAGGGGCATACCGAAGAAACGATAGAGGTAGCGGAAGTAGCGGCTAGCTAAGACTTCTGCCGTATCGTTTTTCTTTCCTGGGAGCGTGGCGATAATCCGGCTTAGCTTGCAGACGAAGGTCCAAACATAGTCATATCCGTAACGGTCTTTCGGCATATCCTTCCCGTCACATTCGACGTGCTCCCAAACAGAGGTCGGTACGGGCAGTGGATGGAGCAGTCCAGGGGTCTTGTCTCGAGGGGTTTTGTTGCGGCGGCAGTCGTGGCAGTTCCGAATATAACGACGGATATCCTCCTTCATCCTTGGCCAGTAGAAGTCTCGTTGGAGCAGCTTGATCACCTTGTTCTGTCCGGCGTGAGCGAAGATCTGGGGTTCGTGGGCTTCGCGAATGAGCGCGGTCTGAAGAAACGTCTGCTTGTCTGAGGTCTGGGCTGGTACGACCAGGTGTGTTCCATGGGTACCGAGGTCTTGGAGGAGGTTCTCTGGCGGATCAACGAAACGAGTTCGGCTCCCTTCGGGACCGAGTTCGGGTCTAGTTCTGGGCGGTCTTGATCGGGCGTCTGCTGTATCCCTCGGTCTTCTGGGGTCTGTAGGGCACTCGTGGCCCTCAGAACTAATGGTCTAGTAGGCTTAGGTTCGGGACTAAAGTTCTGAGGGGGCAGGTTGCCGGCGGCCGTAGGGTCTAGAGAGTCGGTCGCGAAGCCTAGCCTTTCCGGAGGGATCAGGGTCACCGTGCGTTCCTCGGCTTCCCGGGCCTTTACGGTAGGGAGCTCCGCTGTCTTCCTGGAGAGGGCATCGGCGACTACGTTCAGTCGACCGGGGCGGTAGAGGAAACGGATGTCGAACTGGGCGAGAAAGTCGGACCATCTGATCTGTCGTACCGAGAGCAGGCGCTTCGTAGAGAAATGGACTAAGGCTTCGTGATCGGTGATCACATCGAACTTCTGGCCTAAGAGCTCTGGGTAGAAGTGCTCTAGACTCTGTACGACGGCGAGGAGCTCGATCTTGGATTGGGTAGGCTCGCTCGGCCGGGGTCATGGTCTTAGAGAAGAATCCAACGGGCTTCCAGGTCTGATCAGGCTGTTCCTGCCATAGAACACCAGCTGTGGCATTCCGGGAGGCATCGGTCTCCAGTCGGGTCGGCAGTTCTGGTCTAAAGAAGGCGAGGACCGGGGCTTCGATAGCCAGGCGCTTGAGTTGATCAAATGCTTCGCGTTGCTCCGGGCCCATCACAAAGGCAACATCCTTCTTAAGCAACCGGTTCAAGGGTTCTGCCACCCGGAGGCGTGGTAGCAGAAAACACGGATGAAGTTGCATAGGCCAACGAATGATCGGATCGCGGTGCGGTCTCGGAGGTCTTCAAACTTCCAGTCTTGTATCGATCGAACTTTCCGAGGGTCGACACTAAGGCCCACACCGGCTTCAAGCAGAACGCCGAGGTAGTCAACCTTGGTCACGTTAAATCTAGACTTTGATGTCTCCTGAGGTTGGCCTGATGGAGTCGCCAGATCACTTCTTGACAGTCTTTCCAGTGGTCTTCTTCTTTATCCGAGTAGATCAGGACGTCATCTGCGTAGGCGCTGGCGCACCGGTCGAGGAGATCGTGAAGCTGCGCGTTGATAAACTGCTGGAACCAGGCGGGACCTACCTTCAGACCGAACGGGAGGACTTTCCAGCGGAAAGTTCCGAAACGGGTGCGAAAGGCGGTCAAATACTCGGAGTCAGGGTCCATGCGGAGACGGTGGAAGGCCTGGATCACATCGATCTTCGTGAAGCGTTGAGCTTCACGGCAACCGAAAGCAGTACCTTCGAGGGACGGAGCGGGCGTGATGCGACTTTTAAGATGATCGTTCATCCAACGGTAGTCGATGCAGAAGCGGCGGGCGGTCGTGTTCGGTTTCGGAGCGAAGAGGACGGATGCGGCGTGCGGACTCGGATCGGGCTCGATGAAGTCTATCTCCCCACATCGTGACCGGGTCGGCTCGAAGGTAGGTGTGGGCCTCTTTCTTCGAGAAGAATCTCTAGATGGGTGAGCTGGGGCGGTAGACGACTACGGACACAAGCAACATGCTCAGGGTCTTCCCTGAGGGAACGGAATGCTTTGTCCCTGGTAGGTCTTCTGATCCGGGAGACTTTAGCAACGGTTCGAGCACTAGGGACGGTCTGGTCAAGGCCGGAGCTTGGCTCGAGCTGGACTGGATCCCGGGGCATCAACGGTTCGAGTTCGTTCCACTGTTCGAATCTCTCGTGAGACTCTACTTGGCAGACCAGGGCGTTAATCAGGGCTTGATCTTCGGAGGCTTGGACCGAGGCGACGGAGACGAAGTCGGTAGCAGGGGCGGTCGAGCTGAAAACGGACAGACTTCTTGGCAGACGGAGACTTGGACTGAAACGACGGAGACGGAGTCGGTAACGGGGTCGGGACAGAGGCCGGAGGAGCTTGATCAGAGCGGCGCCAGTTCTTGTGGAGGATCCGGTAGCGTTTCTCCTCTTCTCGAGCAGGCGGTTCCGCCTCTCAGCGTCGGCCTGGATCTTAGGGTCGATCCGACCCGAGAGGGGCTTGACGAGAGAGCTGGATCGTCGGGGAGAACTTGGCGAGGGCAGGAAGATCATCTGGCCAGATGATCTGTCGGGCGGCGCAGTCAAGCAGGAGGCGCTTCTCCCGCATCCAGAAAAGACCGATAAAGATATCATGGCCACACTCAGCTATATCAAATGTCTCGTTTGCGAACGAACGGCCATCGATGACGAAAGTGGCGACCAGCTGTTTCTGGATATAGCCGGCTGGCTTTCCACGGAAGTCTTGGAGGGGAATCCGACTCGGGAGCTCCTTAATCTGGGCTCCGAGTCTTTGGGCGGCGGACTGGGCGAAGGTTGGGCTAACCAGCAAACGGGTTTCGGCTCCGGTATCACAGAGGGAGCGGGCAGGTAAGCTCACACCATCCACTTGGACTTGACTTGGCAGAGTGAATGACTTGCTAGACCTACTCGCCATTCAGACACCTTAGGGACCATCAAGGAGTCTTGTGATGGTCCTATTCGTTTCCCGAATCTTGATCAGAGTCGTTGGCAGGGACAGGGACGGAGGCGACACGGGAGACAGCATGGGTGCGGTCGGGACAGTCGCGAGAGAGGTGCCCTGTTTTTCCACAAATAAAGCAGGTGCCATTATCCCAATGGACCCTTTTCTCATCGTCGGTCAAGGTTTCTGCCAGCATCACGCGAGGTGATAGGGTCGAGCCGGTCTTGTTCGGAGTCTTGGCGGTAGTCGGAGCAGTCTTAGTCGGCGCGCGGCGAGATCGGTCGGAAGAGCGGGAGTCCTGTGTCTGCCTCATACTCCTCTTCTGGCAGTGGACAGCGTCCTTAATGAACCCACAGAAAACCTCGTAGGTCACGGACTCGTCACGGGTCTTGGTCAAGAGGCTGTTATCTAGGTTGGCCGGGATGTGCTGCCACAAGGTATGCTTCATCTGGTCCTCGGGCACACGACCGGTCGCAGTTAAGTAGTCAAATTCCGCAAGGAAGTCCACAATGTCGGTCTTCCCATTCACGGTAAACTGGAGGCGTTGCAGGCGGTCAAGAGCCTCGGAAAGCTCATTCGGATTGCCATAGGCGGACTCGAGGGCTTGATCATCTCTGCCACTCCAGAGAAGGGTCGAGTGTCAGAGGAGAAGCGGGTTTCAAGTGCTCGGCGGGCTTTTCCTCGAGCAGGTTATACAGACAGACCATCCGGCTGTTCTCAGTCCGGAAGGTTCGCACGTCTTCGTCAAATTTGTTCTTTATGCTCAGGATGAAGGAATGGAACTCGTCCTTCTTTCCTGAGAACGTCGCGGAGGCCTTGATGCGCGATTTGGCGGCGTCGCTGTACTCGGGGTTCTTGCCTCTGGGAAGGGGCAAAACAGGCCAGGCAGCTTTGCCTGTTGGTCGGAAGGCCGGGCCATTTGGGCCGGCAAAGCAGTCGAGGGCTCCCGGTGCTGTCGATTTGATTCAACAGACGGAGAGCGTTCATTTAGACGGGCCGTTAAGGCCGCAATCTGTTCCTCATCTCGCGGATGAGAGCGTCTTGGGGCTCGGGGCAGCCATGGCTACTATTTCGGATTCAGTGGCTTGGCCAGCAAGCCGGGTGGAACGGCGAGGCTGATCAGAGGGCAGGGCTTCCTCGGATATCATAGTCGCGAGGTGATAGGTGTCGGAAATGATACCACGCGGAATCACGGTCAGATGCCTGCACGAGCAGGGACGGTCGGAGGTCAGACGGGACGAATCCTTGGTCGGAACGGTTGGTCGGACGGCTACACACACGCGTAGTCTTGGTCGGAACGGACGTGATCTCAGCCTTGAGGATCACTTGGTCGGTGGTCGGAGTCTTGGTCGGAACGGTCAGAACGGATGCGCTGGATTTACGTCAGGCGCGTGTGACGTGAAAGCTCGGTGCCTATTTGCTTAATCGCTGGCAAGCGATCTTATTGAGCTTTGAGTAGTGTTACGGCCAGGCACATACGAGCCTTGACGGCTATAAAGATGTATTGGCACTATGAACAAAGACTCAAAGCTAAGGAGCAAGAAAGGAAGACTAGACTACACGACCGAGCGGGCCCTTATATAGACACGAGGTCGCGCGTGGGCACGTGATGCTGCTTGGGCACGTGACACTGGTGAGGTTCTGCGCTGGCGGCTCTACGCCGGCGCCCAGGGTCGTGACACTTAGCGCTTTTATTTACTTTTCTTATAGCTCTTAGTTATTAAATATTAATATAAGGTTAGCTTATTCCTTAGGTATATTTTAGCTTAAGTTTAAGTTTAGTTTTAGTTAGTTATTACTTTTATTTACCTCTTTCTTAAGTTATTTAATAGCTCCCCTTACTTTATTAATATATATTACCGCGCCTACCTTTCCTTTACTTACTTATAAGGCCGCTAGTACTACCTTATCTTAAGTTAAGCGTCTTAGTAAGTTAGCGTATTAGCTCTTAGTAAGGACTAAGTAGTATTATAAAGTAAGTAAAGGTATATATATAAGTACTATCTATAAGATAATATTAATAAGCTATATAGAGCTCTTTTATATATAGCTAGCTTATATATATATATATAGGATCCGGCCCTTTATATATAACTATATAGCTTAGGCTATAGCTTAAGCTTATAACTTATAATAGTTAAAGACTTTTATATAATACCCTCCTTTAAGCGTAGCGCGGCGCTACTTTATTAATAGCTTTTATACTATTAAGCTTATACTATTAGCTCTACCCTACCCTTTCCTATTAATTATACTAGCCCTACTAGCCTTATTATCCCCGCGCTTATTAGCTTAGGTAGCTAAAACCTAGCTTTATACTTATTAGCTAGCTAGCTATTTAAATAAGTATATAACTTATTATATACGCCCTTAAGTAGCTAGCGGCTAGCTTAGACCTATATAAGCCTTAGGTTGCCTATCCCCTTAGCTTTAAGTAGCCTCCTTTACCTAAGTGTATATAAAGTAATATCCCTTTCTTTCTCCTTCCCTTCTTTCTCTTCCTTCTTTAACTATAGTAGTAATAGTAATAAGTAAGTTTTACTTTACTTAAGGTATTAGTTTATTCTTAGCTATATAAGCCGCTTTATTAACGTATACTTATAGTAATAGCTATAATAGTAATAATAGCCTTAATAATAATAATAACTTTAACTAATAAGTTCCTTACTTTATAAAGTAAGAGGCTATAATTTATAATACTAACTTCCGTAATAAATATATCTACCTCCCCCTCCCTTACCTCCTCCTTCTTAGAGCGTATAGAGTTATTTATCGACGCTATACTATATATAGCCGACGATAGCTCTACCGCTACTATTACTCTTACCCGCGCCTCCGCGACCGCGCCTACCGCCGCCGCTTCTACCTTTACTACGCTAGCCGCCCCTACGTTGCCTTTCTAAGTAACAACGCTATCCCCGCCGCCGCTTATAATACCCGGCCCTTTTACCCCTATCTCTACCTCTACTACCCCTATAAGTCCGCTACCTAGTAAGTATAGTAGCTATTTTCCGCTAACTTCTTAAAGTATAAACGCTAAGTATAGGCTAGAGCCGCTTATATAGCCTCTTATATATAGTATATATTATAAGAGCTCCCTTATACCGACTAAGTTAAGCGCTACTATAATAGTAGTTATTACTAATATACGCGTACTAGCCGCGCTTATAAGGCAGCGCTTCTTATCTTACTTACTATAGCGTTAGCTTAGAAGGCTAGCGCGTATAAGTAAATATAAGGGGCTACTAAGAAGCGCCTTACCGCCGCCGCCGCCGCTTATTATAATCTCTATGCCCTTAAGCGCTAGGGCCTTATCCTTAAGTAAGTTCCTCTTTTTTAGCTCTTTTACTTCCGCTACTAACTCTCTTAGTACTAAGGATACTACCTTTATTACCTTATCGGCGGTGCCCTTAGCTATACCCGCCGCTGCCCTTACCGCTACTACTAGCTAGGCCCCTTTTACCCTTAGAGCCCTTAAAGCCGCTACTACCGCTAACTAGCTCGCGGGCTTAGAGGGCCGCTTAAGTACCTTAAAGAGCGCCGCCGCCGCTAATAAAGTAAAGAAGGATAATAAAGATAAGGATAACGATAATAATAAAGATAAGGAGTAGGTTTAGGTAATCTAAGGGCTTTACCTTAAAATAAACGCTATTTTTATCTCTACTTATATTATTATACTTATATTATTATAACTAAATACCTTACTTTACTTACTTTATAGTCCTAGCTTAAGCTAATATTAGTAGTTTATTAGCTTATTATTTTCGTTTACTATCTTAAATAAAGCCTTAAACTTATTAAGGGCTATAGCTCCTATAAACTTATATATAGGTTCTTATATAAGGTTAAGATACCTACGCTACTTAATAAAGACCTCTTAGCGTTTCCTTTTACTAACCTTTTTCTAGCGCGCGGCTTATATCTCTTTAATATTAAACTTATCCTCTTTTTCTATTTTAATTATAAGTAGTTAAGCGTCTATTAATTCTTATTTAGGTAGCGGGTTAAAAGAGGCTCTATAAAAAAGGTCTATATTAATCTTATTATAGACCCTTATTAAAAGACTCTTAAGCTTTATAACCTATAAGCTAATAACCCTCTATACTATAAACTTTATATAAAGCTAGTTAAGCTTCTTCTTTAACTATACTAACTTATAGTTATAAAGGTCTAGCTATACCTTATCTCTTACTATAAACCTATTTACTAGAGCCCTAGTTTTATTAGCGTACTACTCTTAATCTTATACTATAGCGGCTATTATAAATTAATAATAATCTATAATCTCTTATAGCTTTTATATAAATATAAAAGCGCGGCCCTTTAGTAATAAATTACTATATTACTCTATTACTATATCTATAATAAAAGGAACTAATAAAGGTAGTTTAAAGCTATATATTATAAAAAAAGGGCTATTTTAATAAAGGTATATAATTTATTATTTAATATAAGTTAAGCTATAGGGAGCTATTAGTCTTAGTTTACTTAGTTATAGGCTATAATTATCGTATACTCTATATATATTAATTAACGCTATCGCTTAAATCTAATAAGCGGCTATTTTTTTTTCGTAATAGTTATAAGCTTAGGTAGAGGGGTTACCCCTCTAAGAACTTCCTAGTAACTATATATATACTTCTTCTAGCTAGCCTAGCGCGTACTACTTAAAAGGCCTAAGGTTTAAGTCGCGCCGGAGTAATTACGCGGTATTAGTATAGGGCCTACCTATATAAAAATTCCCTTTATAGTCTAAGATATCTAGGTATCCTAGGACGAATTAACCTAGTATCCTTAAGGGGGTATATCGCGTACTCTATATATATTAATTAACGCTATCGCTTAAATCTAATAAGCGGCTATATCTTTTTCGTAATAATAATAGCCTATAAGTAAGCCTATGCCTTTTAGTTAACCCTTTTAAGCCCTTTATTAGTTTATAAGTAGTATATTATACTAAGTAGCTATATAATTTAAAGTAGCTAATATAGGTACTATTAAAGGCGGCTAGTTTAATTCGATCCCTTATCGCTTATAATAAAGACTAGCTAGCTATATAAGCGAGCTTAGTACTATAAGAAGCGCTTTATATAAGACTTTATATCTATAAATAGTATTAGCTTTAATATTATAAACTTATTAAGTTAGTCCTTAATTACTTATATATAGCGGTTACCGCCCTTTATAAGTAAGAGGTCTATTATAAAGTCTATTTATATATATATATAAAACTAGTTAGGTGCCGGAAGCTACTTAAGTCGCCCTTTAAGCTATACCCTTTAAATCTTAGTATAGCTATAGATATTATAGTTATAAAAAAAGCAGCGAATATAGTACTATAAGAGGGGCTAGTAAAAATCCCTTATAAGGCCTATTATTATTCCCTACTAACCTAGGTAGCCTATAATACTAAAGTTATAAACGAGCTAAACTAGCTTCCCTTAAAGATTATTTTATTTATTTAGCTTTAGCGGTCTATCCTTTTCCTTAGCTTCTATAGTATATAGCGCGCCTAGTACCTATAGTCTCTCCTATTAATATAAATACCCTTATAAGTTAATTTAATAGTTAGCTACTTATTCTTTTAGCTTTAGCTTTAAATTAAGGTATTAAGCGCTAGACTTAATAACGTAGCGTATACTCTTATAGGTATAGTCTAGCAACGATATCTTATCCTATAAGCGTTAAAGGACCTTATCTTAAAATACCCGCGCTATACGCGCCCTTAGGCTAGTCTATCCCTTCTTACTAAACTAAGGTAAAGGTATAAAAAAGAGCTTATCTATTAGTACCGCGCTTCCATCTACTAAGAAAGCTCTTATATAAGTCTATAGCGCCTCTTATAAAATAAGCTATAGATCCTAGGCCTTAATATCCGCTCTTATTAGCCGGTCTTAATCCTTCTAGGAAAGTATATCTAAGACTATAAAGTCTTACCGTAGCTAGTACTTAATTAAGAAGTTAAAGTATTAGAAATTCTCCGCTTAGCGGGCTTACTACTTTAAGAGGTACTAACGAGTTATAAAGTACTTAAGGTTCTTATAATCTATAAGAACCTTTAAGCTCTTATAGCTTTAAAGCTTTATATACTATTACTTAAAGTAGCTAATAATTACTAGTATCTCTTTATTATAAATAGCGTAATTCT